GCTCAGCCAAAAAAAGTGCTAATTCTAGGCAGTCTTCATCAAACTATCCCTATCATTAGTGCAAAGAAACGACTTGTCATCAACAAAGCTACCCCAAAGCGACACCCCTGAACCATGATTCACCCTCCGCATTTTGCATTATCTGCCGCCGAAGATTGGTGTGAACCAGCCGTCCGAGACCCCTGGAACACCACCACACCCAGTTCTCAACTCCTTCACGGGCAACATGAAGACGTCGGAAAGCTGAAATCCACGACCTCCAGAGATGCAGTAGATCGGTAGTTCGAACCAATCGTAAAAACCACACACCTTAAATTTATCCCATGAACTGCATGTATGAATGTACTTGCAACCTCGTGGTTGTTTTTCTTGGTCGGTAGTTCAACGGTCTGTGAACCCAAATAAACATCCGCAACCGAAATAAACATCCGAATAAAAGACACAGAAAACCAAAGAAACATCCGCAGACTCAAACATAAGGCCATGACTCCAAAAGATGTGTTTCACGCCGCAGATCAAAAAAATAACCCTGAGGAAGTTCCAGGTATGCCTACATTGACCCCTGAAACCACCCAAATGTATAGGTATAAGTTATAAGTATGTCATATTCTGTCATACGCATGGTGTGTCTGGGTATAAACAATAACATCAGGTTGATTCGCAAGAAACAATTGAAACCTTCTGCAGTGTGATTGGTCACAGCATCAAGAAGTTTCCGTGTCATTTCATATGAAGACAGTATCAAACTCCCCCGAAGAAGAAGGTCGAATTTTGAAGCAACCCGGGTCAGTTTGGAAAGCAAACGGTTCAGGTTAATTGTGGGTTTGTAATTAGTTGTGCTGATGCCGCTGGCTCTTCCGTGTGCTTTGTAAAGGTAAAACATCATATGTTTTGAGTATTACAGTCCCTGCAGCGCCGAATAGAAGCAAAGCCATTTTCCCAAGCTCCGACAAGCTGTGACGCCTTCAAAGCTCTTCAAAAGATTTCAAAAGGAAGAAAACATGCACCAAGGGCTTGCTTTGATCCAATATCTAAAAAAGAACGAACTGAACTGTCAACCACAAACCATAGTATATAGGTACTAATACTTACATTGTATTTAATAGATTATAAATGTCTATATCCGCCGACCCCGGCCTAGCTGATGTCTAGGCGGGGCGGCGCCTGGGACACCGCAGGGTGAAACGGTTGGCATCGGGCCTTTGGCGAGCAGAGGCTTTGTCAGCTTTTCATGCTGTTGGCCACAGCTGGAGTTTACATTGGCTGATTTCCGGGCATCTGCATCTCATTACCAAAATCCGCGACAAAGCAATCCTGAGTTTTGCCACACGAGACTTGGCTTTAACCTTCAAAGCTTTCCAATAGGTTCGCTTGTGCAGCAAATCGTGGCAGCGGATGGATAGGGATGGGTATGGATGGGTTGGGGGTTGAGGGTTCAAGGGTGCACCTCAAAAAATCCCAAACCAAAAACCAGGTTTTTGATATCAAGTCCTTTTTTTAACGGGTCGCCACAAAAAGCCCTTCTTTTTCATGGTCGCAGGGGCTCATGGTAGGGGGTCTCTCCTATCTATAGCAGGCGCAGCGCAGTGCTATATACCGCGTCCTTGATTGCCCCCCAGCATTTGCCAAGGCTACTCTCCACTATTCTCATTACCAGGTGCAAACCTGGATCGTGCTCTGCACGACACGTGCCATTCGCAGTATTTAGGGACTGGGCCCAGCCCTCCAACAGGACGCTCCAACAGTCTCCCACCACCCGGACTTCGATGGCCTCCAACCTATACTGCTTGCCACTGCACGTCCCGGACGACTTCGACTCCGACCCTGCCGGCCCTTTCTCCCTCCGAGGACCACGGGCGTCGCGGTCCCGCGGCGACCGCATCACGTCGGACCGTACGTTCGGTCGGAGCGTCGCGCTCGGCCGCGAACAGAGAAGATCTTCGGCTTGGCGGGGGTGTTTTGGGTTGGAAAACGATCAGGACTGATATACGGCAGGAGGCACGAAGAAAACAACCATTTTTGGGGGCAGACCCTGCAAGTGAGTTGAAGCTCATTTGGATGAAGTGGGATGAATTATATTTTGGAGGCTTACGAGACCAGCTTTTACATTGGGCCGGCTGTTTTTCTATAGGGCTCCAAAAGCAACGTTAGAGACTGGCAGCTGCCGTATGGCACCCGTTTGCGCGCAGGATTAAATGGGGGAAGGCTGTGGCGACACCAGCGCTTTTTGGGCTTTCTACAGGACAGCAGGACCGGCCTGTGGCCATCACCTGGGCTGTAAAAAATAGGGCTCCAAAAGCAACGTTAGACAGTGGCAGCTGCCGTCTGGCGAGTTCCGCATCCTTGTCCGAAAAAGGGGGTCGGCGGCACCAGGGCGTTGGCCCTACTTATATTATATCTATATATTATATGTGATCTCGAATGTTTTGAGGCCAGCCGGTGGCCGAAGACCATCACCAACGTTCCACTGAAACAGAAACAGGGAGAAGCTCTCGGAAGCTCTGAATGAAAAGCCCAATTACGGCGTCAAGCCGATTGTTTCGGGATGCATCGCTTCCAAACTCCGCGGCAGGCAAGCCGAGTTTTGAAAAGTATCAGGTTTTGCCAAGGTCGAAGAGTATCAGGTTTGCCATGCCACAACGTTGGAGTCTGTATATTAATATTGGTTTAACATCCGGTATTGCAGTGAGACATAGTGAGACTGAAGGCTGAATAAAGATAATAAAGAGCAATATGCTTGATATATCTTGATATACCAGGTCCACTAAATCGATTGAAACACCAAGTACTTGACCTGGAAGACGATGAAAACTGTGTCACAACGATGCATGAACTTGTTCGGAAGGTCGATGAACTTGTTCGGGTCAAGTCTCATGTTTGTCTTTGTTTCTGTTCAATCTGAGGTGCTGGGTACATCTGGGTACATCTTCGGTGCCAGTCTTTCAGACAAACAGCCACATGAGCCACGAGCCAAACGAAGAACCTAAACTAGCAACAAATGTGCGCAGAAAATTATCTGAACCCTACTCTGTTTACGGTGGAAACGCTGAAGACAACACAGCGGCTTTCGCTGGAAAGCGATCGAGGGTAGCACTCCCAGCTACACTCGAGCGCTGCAAGAATGCAATAAAGTGGAGGAGATGGAGTTTTTGGACAGTTCCAAAGTATATGAATTTTAAAGACCGCGAAGAAACCGATGAAGTCATGAGCCTCCCATCCTTCTTTTTGAGTTGTGACTTCAATCCCTGAAAATCTTCAAATGCCCCAGACCGCCCACACACCCAAATTATCCCCAACATCCCAAGACGAAGCACCCCAGCACGACGGTCAAAACGGTGCTTCGCCTCGCAAGCCACGGACCAGCTTCAGCACCTTGAGTGCTGATGGCTTGGGCTCAGGCCGAGCTTCGCCTGGAGTGCTGCGGGCGTTTTGGGCCGGTGGAGGTCGGCCAGAAGCCATTTTGATGTGGCGAATGAAGGAAAAGGGAGGAATATCATGATGTATGCTATTTCCATTGGATCGGACTAACAGAAGTTCATCATGTTGGAATTTGGCATGTGTGCAGGACGATGAGGTGCCGCAGGACTCAGGCGTGTGCCATGATCTTTTGTTCACTTCTACTATCTTCTACCAAAGTTGGTCAGTACAACTGACTGATCTTGGGAGATCTTTCACAACTTCTGGAAGGCCAAAGTCTTGTCAACAGTGACAAAAATGGCTGCAGATCAACATCCGAAACTGGAAACCATTGTAGCTTGGCCATGCTGGTAGTCTGTTCTGTTCAAGTTGGCTAGTCCAACCGGGACACTGCCGGGTTTGACCTGCATACCCGCCAAAATAAAGAAGGGAACTGTGTTCTGGAAGTTCAACGCTGTCCGACTTCCTTTCAGGCCCTGGTGATGGGCGTATTCCAACACCGGGTGACCATGCCGCTGCTGTGCGTCGGTCGATGTCGGTGATTTCGGAAACCAGCCGATGGTGGAAAGTATGCACAAGTATGGTGGCAGCGTTTATCTTACAGTACACACACATATAGTAAATTACATATAGAAATGGCTAGTACACACATATAATATATTACAGTGTGTAAATAATCATATCTAGGCTAGTACATGTTTGCCTTTACCAAAACGCCAAACTGCGTCATCTGTCCACCGCCACGGTTGTTTGCCAGCCTTTAGAGACAGGAAGACTCCTTGAACTGCGGCTTGGCGCCTGTGAGAGCTGCATCAGAACTTCTCGGCTTTTTTGTGAAACGCTCTGTGGACCCAAACACTCTGACCCTAAGCTAGTGCTGCTTTTGGTGTTTGATTGGAGCCGGGTTGCGGATGTCCCTGTTTCGACATGTGTGAACTAACCACGACCTTCTGATTATTTCAACATAACCCTCTCTCCCCAACCAATATCGTGCTCACTGTGGCCACAAGCAGCATGTCGCAGCCTGAGGAGAAGTCGTCTCTTCTACTGGTTGGTTGATCGGGCAACATCTCATCTCTTTGAGTAATTACTTTCAATGTTCTCATCTCACGGCCTCACAGCTTTTGTGACCGAATCGAGGCTCGCGCTCAACAAGCAGCTCGCACCTTCTTGGCTTTCACATCCACCAGCTGCGTTCGGAGCTCCTCCAAGACCGTCCGCAGCCTCCGCACCTGGCGCCCACGCCACCAAGCGAGCTTAACAGCGCGCGCTCGACCGAGTGAGTTGCGTCTCCATGTCTGGAGGATCTGCGCGGGATGCGTTTGGACAAATACGAAGAGTCTGGAAGGACTTGGTTTGGACCCCAAGGGCAGCCAAGGGGTCCAAAACGCTGGAGTTGCGCAACATCCAACAACTGAACCAGCAGTTTCCATGGAGTTGCGGTGCCGAACTCGGAGGAAGGAAGGAGACAAGCGCCCCGCCGTCACATCCACGCTGGATGGGACGAGCCAAAGCACCCAACTCCATGGAACTGAGGACCAGGATACTCCATTCACTATATGGCACTTTTTCGGATGCTTCTTTCAGCTCCTGAAGATTCCTGGAGGGTTTTCAGCTCCCTTCCCAATCGACCCGGAATCTTCCATTCGAAGCCGCCGATCCTCTTCCTGTCGCTTCTGTTCAGCGGCTTTGGGCAAGGAACTGGTGCTCCTCGGCCGCTCTTTCGGCCGGCCGGCGCTTGGGCCAATTTTGTCTGTTTGATCCAGCAACCTTTGCTGTTGCATCTGCTAGAAGAATCAAAAACATGTTTCAAGTGTCCAGTCCTGGCTTTGGTGACCATCAGCGCCCGTTCCTCAAGCTCCTGCTCCTTTTGCTCTGCCTCCTGGCATTTTTTCCAACACGGCGATCGTCGGCTCCAAAAGCTCTCTGAACGTGGAGCCAAGGGGAGCGTGTGAGGTGTCCCTTCTTGCACTCCTGCAACGGTGCGCATAGCATATCATGTCGATGATTCGAGTGATTCCAGAAATGGTGTCCAATGTTTCAAGATATTATGAACTGATGCCTCTCGTAAGGCAGGTGGAAGGGAGATGAAGCGAGCGTAGGTTCGGGTCGCTGATCGGACTGGAACAGGGAGCGCTATCCAGGTACCACTGCAGGCATTCTGGACTTCCAAATTGCTAGGACATGTCAGGAAATGAACGTCGGGGCGAGGGAAGAACCACAGACTCCAGAAGTTCTGGACCACTTTCGGCCTGATGTTAACCGTGGTTTTTTGGAGCCAAGCATGTGATCCTTACCCTCAAGATCCTGGATCCAGTTCCCGAGAAACCTGGAAGCTCTAAATGTCCAAGGATCAAATTAGTAGTGGCCAAGCGCACAAGTCTGGATGCTTTATTGGTTCTCATATACCAGGTTCTCATACACCAGAACCCATAGAAACTCCAAGTAATGTAGACCGAATAGAAAACTGCTCAGAATGGGTTTACAGCACTATAAATGTGCTTTCTTTGTTGATCCACAACCAAACCCCCACCATCAACTTGACTTTTTGAGCGCTTCTTTCCGCCTGCTGGTGCTGCCGTTTGACCCCACCGCCAGCCGCCCTTGTCGCTCGCGGTTTCGGCGCGACGCACCACCCAGACTCGCCGTGGTCGGCCGCCTTCTCTCGTTGGCGACGCCGGCGCGAGAGCTTCCGTGCTCGCTTCACAGCCTTTCTCGCCCGTGGGGTCGACGCTTCACAGTGCGGTCGACGCACTGCTTCAAACGGTCGAGTCGCTCGGCCCTGGTGACGGCTGAAGGAAAAGCCCGGTGGCAAGTGGCCGGCTGCCCAAGGATGTGAGAACATCCTGGTGGCACATAACTCGGAATGTCTCATCTTATCTTGCAATTACATATTGCAACCTGTGTGGAATGGGGTGAAGTAAAAACATGCAAAGACACACGGTGGAATAGACCCAGGCCAGGTTCCGATGATTTGTCTCGCACTCTATTTTCGCAGTGGATGCTAGTTTTCAGGAGGGAAATCCAAGGAAAGAGCTGGCAAGAGGATTCATTGATGTCGTTGTCTCTCCAAAAACTATCCGAATATATATATATATATACATACATAATCGAACATAGACCTGAAATGCAGTAGTATATACGTATTTAAAAACGAGCAGCTCTGTTTGAGGTAATGGCAACATGTCAAATGCCGAGGAACCCAGAGTCCTAAATTGGCTCATCAAGCATGGACATCGAACATACTCCTTCATGAAGTGATGTTTTTTAGGTTTAAAACAATGTGTGTTACGAGTACGTATATATCTACCGGCACCTTCCAACAGGTGGTTTCTGGACACCCCTTAACCACTAAGAGGCTATCTATAGACACCTCTTGGAAGGTCCTGGTAGTCTATATGCCTATATTTATATCGCCCTATCTTGTACAACTAGGGAACTTGTCTCAACTCAACGCCTTCCAAAGTGGACTTCATCAAGCCGAAAGCCACTGCCGAAAGCTGTCAAGTCTCTGTTTCCTCCGGCTATAGACAGGAGTTCAACCTCAATCACCATGTGATCCTAGCATGGCCATGACGTTTGATCCTAGCATGGCCATGATGCCACATTGTGACATGTACATCTCAATGATTCTCGATGGATGTAAGAGGGTACCTAATCGTGTCCTTGTTCCAATTCAGTGAGTCGCACCGCAATCAGTCTTCTGGACCCTCCTTGTCGGTTTTTGCTTCTCATTCTCAACCTGTCTCAAAACCGGTGTCCAGTGTCCGGTGGCGGTGCCTCCACCGTCGCTGGCTTCACTCCCCGCCGGTTGGAGCGCCTTGAGACAGAGGCCGAAAGCAAGGGAGTTCAGATGTGAAGAATTGAAATACTTTTTTTCTGATTGCTTAGTAAAGCAGTCAAGTAAAGCGGTCTCAATTTTGGGCAAGGGCAGTGTGGATCTTAGAACGAGATCTAGATATCTAGATTGTTCAGTGCTTTGTGACAGTCATACTAAAATTCCTCAGAATTTGGAGCTGCTTGGGGGCCTGGGCCAAGCGCGCAACTATTGGGATCCTTGGCAGGATTCTCAAGGCTTCCACTCAAGGTGGTCACCTTACAACCGTCCAAAAGACCGGAAGCGAATCTCAACCCGCCCTGATCAAGCTCATCGAAATGTGCTTTATTGGGGTGCAAACACTGCCATCCCGAAGACCAACAGGTGGTCTTGGATTCCATCAGTCACCGAGAAGAGCTGGCGGGACCCTACATCCGGAACTCCATCCGCGGCCGCGCACTGGTCTCTCTGGGCTCCAAACACAGAGGTAGGAGATGGAGAACGGCTTCCAGAGAGCTCCTGGTCGGAGCAAACCCGACTCTTCTAAGTGGGTCGGAAATTGCTCTGACCCGACCGTCGCCGCTTCCAGCAAACCTGTGAAAGGCACATGGGGAATCGGCATGCGAGGTGGTGACACCCAGTGTCATTCGAAGAAAAACATCTGCAAAGTATCGAACAATCTCGAACCTGAGTTCCCCGTTCCTCCCCCTCCCTGAGGTTCTTCGGGTCCTTCTGTGCAGTTTGTTTGCTCCCGATCATCGATCTCTTCAGGTTGGGAAACTCTACGAACATAACCCGAACGATCTGTGGAGAACATCTGCTAAAAGCCGCCGGGCTCACCAAACCCAAAAACAAGAGATGCTTCTCCCCACTGAGATCTCAATGCTCCAAGGCCTTGGGGAAACTCCAAGACACATGGAATGCCGTGAGGGGCTTGGGAAACGGTGTTGAAGTCCAACGATAAGGACCCGAAACACTGTGGTTTGGTTCCCTGTGGACACGAAGGGCACCAAAAATAAGTCTGTCGCTGAATCACTCCCATCGCTTTCACAGGATGGTCTCCACGCATGGCCTATGATTTTCCGTAGTTACATTCACTTGGTTTCTGGGATCACTCGAAGTAAAGTAATTGTGTTTGTTTAAACTTACTATTTCTCTATGTTTTCCTCTGGCAAGGAGGGGGCACCTGAAAAGCAACAAACACTCTGTGCGGACTGTTTGGGGACCTCTCAGGAATGTGTTAGTATTTTAATTTCTGTGTTTTCCGTTAGATGTTTTGATGCAACCCCTTCACAGTCCAAGATCTCTGAGAAATAGCGGTTCTTTGAAGGCATGGGGGCCTTCGGTTAAGCACTGGCTTTTGTATGGATGGGACCCAGAAAGCTTGACCCTTCAAGTTCCCAACAGTCCTGTACATTGTACATCAGAAAAAAATATGTTAATATATATATATGACTATATATATATATATCTATCTATATATATTTATTATGTCCTTGCAATCTTGATTTGCCCTTTCTATTTAGCGCTCTCTTCTTACTGATTTGTGACAAGCTCATTTCAGCTGCTCCTGTTGTCAATGGCACCAAACACTATCCTCGAGATCTAGTTCAAAGAGCTTCTATACATATTATCAATATTATCAACCAACAATGTAACATTGAAATAGTTGCTCGTGTTCAATTCTGCTACCTTGAGTCAGTATGTTCCACTACTCAATTAGTTTCTCTATTTGTCCGCATCGGTTTCTCGAAATTAGCTGGCTCTTTCCTTAATTTAGATTGCTGTCTATGTTTCTCAATGTATTTCAATATGTTGGTATATTTTGGTAGATGTCTTAACCTCATCTTCACATCTTTCAATTGTAGCTGTGTTGATCACAAGCTGTTCCTATAGGCTCCTCTATATAGTTGTGTTGAAGCACGTCCTTATTTCCTGCTTAGCTCATTTAATATATGTGTAGATTCCGAGAAGCAATGCATGCATACAAATGAAATACAATAGAAGGAGCTAGGCCAGAGACTAAAGGATTGGTTGGCCGCTCTCACTGCAATATACACCATGACATGTTACTATTTACTCCTTATTATGCTGCTTAAAGTCCGGATCCTCCAGATACATGAAGGTTGATATCCGATTGGGCGCTATCCTTTCAACATAAGCCATAGCGTTTTGCTCTTTGACTCCTGTTTTCCTTTCCTCTTCCAGACACGCAAAAGCTTGCAATACATGTCTTCATGGATTGTCCTTTGGTTGTGGATAATTACCATTCTTCATCAATGGCTCTTCCCTTCTTGGATAAATAGGTTGTTTATTGTAGGACGTCCAAAGGTGTGAGCCTTACAAAAGAGCATCTTTCTTCATGGACGATCCCGTGCTCACAATTCTCGCATTCATACAGTCTAAGCCTCAAAAACATCAAGGATAAGCATGGAACAGGTATGATAAAAACACCGATGGTGTGTAGGGTGTTGGAGGTTCCGCATGACGTGGGGTGCTTGTGTGTAGGGTGCTTGTGTGATCCATGGAGGTGCTTGTGTGTTTCCAAAATTGTCAGGGAACTGACAACATGTGTCTGTTGAAACAAATTTGACCCGGAAAGGAAAGAGGGAAAGGAAGGATGTTTTTCAAGATGTTGTTTATTTGCCTTATCCAAATAGATTTATGATAATGACACATGTCTGCAAGACTTTACAATAACTATGTCATATGTTCAATGGCAGCATCAAACATGTTCCCCCCCCACAACCACAAGGAAGCCCGCTCTCTTCTTTTCATGCCGTTTCTTCGCTCGGAAGGAACCTGCAAGCCTTCGGCACGCCCATCGATCCACGCCTTTCAGTCTCCATCTCTCAACCCCTCTCCTTGATCTCCCGCCAGGTGAAGGATTGGCTTCCTCCATTGAGGCAAACCTGCATGGAGAAGACCAAGACTGAGGTGACCAAGACTTGCTGATGATGTGACTTGCTGGTGACTTGAGAATTCATCCATTCTTTGATGTTCAGTCTTGGTAGGTGTGGTTAGACCTGGTATATTTCAGGGATCCCAAAAGTTCTGGTTTGTTTGCCCTCGGATCTGCAACTTAGGTGGAAGGCCTACCAAACTATGAACACGCAGCTATGCGGGTATACAATCTTTTAGTCCTTTATGTGGATGATCCCCTGATGTCTCCGACAAAACCTGTCCCATGAAATGCATCTGCTACGTATGTCATTTTCACACATGGGGTTTCAGGAAAGGGCAAACAAGTGCAGTGTATCCCTTTCTGATCTGCCACAAAAACCAGAAACCAACATGCAGTCATATTCTTTTATGCCCTGATATTGCCTCCTTTAGCATAGTCTGACAATCTCAAATCTGTGAAGGATTCTTGATCTTCAAGCGCAATCTCAAGTGGATTCAATATGATTCAATGCTCAAACACCTCACCCCGCGTTTGTCTGCCACTTCGCTTCTTGCTCAGTGAATGACCGCCTTCACTGGATTCAGAGAGGTCACAGTGCCAGGCTTCCAATCTGCTTCTCCCAGCCTAGGGTTGGAAAACGGAAGGAGATATTCATCACGGGAAACCCCAGAGATGTCCTTCGTGGTGTCCGACCTGGACAATCCCATTCGAAACCTCGACCAAACCGACGTTCATCTTCCGACTTCTCTCGACTGATCACGAAGGTCGGTGTACACAAACAACCGTGCCGAGATGTGCCGAGAAGGAAAAAGCAACCGCTGGGAGGTTTTCCATGGAGTCTTAACAAAATTCGACTCGGCTACAGTTCCTCAATGTTCAAGGTCTCGTCACCAATCAAATTCACCAACGACAGGTCGAGAAGTACAGAAGGTGTCTGCCAAAACTTTGTGGCCTTACTTTATAAGAACTTAAGCCAAAGCCCGCGACGACACCCCTGACGATAATATCGTGACTGTACGTAGGTGCACCTCCACCGAGTCTCGGTGAATGACCTCACCAGTATTGTGTGATCCATGATTTGAGCTACGAATGAACCTTCCTAAAGCAACTTGAGACCAGCATGATTTGAGCTACTTCTCTCAGTCTGATGCGTGGTTCGTGTTTCCCAAAAATCAAGATGTGCGTTCCATTTGTGGCCCATGTGGCATATCTAGGTAATTACAGCAAAGTAAAACAGCAGTCAGAATATATGATATATATATATAGATAGATAGAATCATCATTAATAGTAATTCCATTCAACTCCATGATGCTAAACTCTTCTCACCACAACTTTTGATGTTCTACCATCTTCTTGGATCTTACAAGTATAGGTGATCACATCCGATTGACCCCACCCGCGGCGTCCCCAGGTCCCAAGGTCCACGATCCCAGCGACTTGCTCCGGCCAATCTCCGAGTCGTCCCGATCTCGGACCTAGGTTCATGCGAATCCAAATGCTGCTCATGTGATTCGTTTTAAGAGGAACGGCTGTGTGCACATCAAAAGAGATCAAAAGAGACCCGAAACGGTTTGATAATCACATGCCATCCATGTGTCCGGATATTGGAGGGGTCCAACTGGCAGGGGCACCCGATTTCAAGACATACCCACCTCCTCTGCTGAATCTCTGTAGGACGAGAAGTGGGAGCGATAAAAAAGCCTTCTGCAATGGGGTCTTGATCAAACGGAAAATGAATGGTCCTACGTCTCCGTAACAAATTGCTCGCAACGAGTGCCAAAAATAGAACCTTCTTTCTCAAGGCTGAGATACGGTCTCCCATGGTCTTTCTTGGGACCTGAGGACCAAAACTCAAAAAAAAAACCTCCAACCAAAGTACTTCTCATGAGGCCCCCCCCAAAAGAAACAACGACCAAACCCCCCAAGGAACGCGTCTCGCCACGATGTGCCGAACAAACCAATTCGCTCGACCGGTGTCCCGGGTGCTCCGAACCAACACGCGATCGCCCACGTGCCACCGGCAGTGGTTCGCCTGGACGTCCCGCAGCGTCTCGGAGGAACGACGAACACACTCGCGCCGACGACGACTGTGGGGTGGATCTTGTTTTTGTTGGCACTTCAGCCGTTGGACTGGCCGATAGCCTCGTGTTGGATGGAAAAAGACCACGAGAATCAACGACCACGTCCGGGCTGGAGATCCGTGGATGTCTGTGCGGTGGCCGGACCTCTCAAGGGGTGTTCAGTCTTCAGATCACATGAGACCTAAACCAGCGAGAGTTCACGCGAGTCTGACCTTTTTTTGATCATGGTGGGAGGATCCTTGTCCCAAGCAACCTGCTTTCATAAGCAATTGAACTGAGGCTGTCTGAGTCACACTGGCACTCAAGGTGGTGGACTTGATGGAGTTTCTATTCCACACTCCGACGCTTTAGCTTTGGGCCACTGAAAATATCATTCGGTGCCAGGTTTCAACCTGACCCTATAGTACTTAAGCAGTGTATATATATATATACAAACAAACCTATATCGTACAAGAACACTTAAGTATGATCCCATGATCGCTGACCCAAGAACCTCGGTTCTGAAAGCACATCTCCAGTTACGGGAGGCCTTCGGGTTTCTAGATGTTTCTAGGAGCGAGAACCGGGGAAACCAACTCTTCCCTCCTATTACAGTACAAGGTTTTTGGTCGTACCTCAACTTCAGTCGAAGCTGCTTCCCACCTCGACTCAACTTCAAACAAACACATGGGGCAAACAGTTTGGGCCAGTGAGGTCGCGGCTGCTAGCGAGTGTAGAGAAAGTGACATTCGAGTGACGCAGAGCGGTGCCTGTTGCAGCCGCTCGAAGACCGTCTTCCGCGGTCGGATCCGTCGACGGGTGGCACCAAAGATGCAAAGGGCCTGGCGGGATGGAGAAGAAAGATCGTGAGGCCACAAGTATGGTGTTTTCAGAAGCATCTAAAACCCACACAGAAAGTCTTCCAGAACACCCAGGCGCCCAGGAGTTTGATGTGTTCATTGTGTTTTCCACCCGCAGTTTTCCAACCAATAGGCAGGTAATTAGTATCTATTCAGAAGACTTTGAAGACCTCGAAAACTCCAACATTTGGGGCCGATTGCTCCAGGTTTGGGGGATCTTGTTTCCTTTTACCGGCCGATGGTTGAAGTGAAGCGCATGTGAAATCATTGGAATGTTGTCTTGGAAATCATGGGACAAGTGAAACCATGACCTTGAGTGCCACCAGTCGTTTGCATGACTTTCACGCCACTGATTACATCCACACTGTACATTACTGTACTTGATCCTCTGTTCCCCTTAGGGCAAACCGGACCACCAGACCTTGACAGGACCAGACCTGCATGGAACTCAGTTTTACTCATACTAGCGCTGGGGTTTAGGCACCAGAAAGTCACCCGGCCTCATGTAAACGCAGCATTAGTCAAAAGTCACCCGGCTCGCGAAAAGTCATTCGTTTTATGTTGAAACACAATGTAAACGCTCCAGATACCTCCGGCGCCTGAGTGTCTGGCCCCATCTCCGCCGTTGCTCCCAGCTCATCTCCAGCTTCTTTCGCAGCGACACCCCCGCCATCTTCATCGGCGTCGGTCGTGTCGGCGGGCTCCGCCATGGGCTCGATTAAAGGCGCATGTTGAGGATGGTGTGACGATTCACTGAGGTTTGAGTCTTTGATGGTCAGACTCTTGGCTTTGGTCAGACTCTTGGCTTTGGTCAGACTCTTGGCTTTGCAGCGTTTTCAGATTGCTGTTAAAGACTCTTCTAACAATCCACTCGTCGTCAATGGAGTTGTGGATGTGTGTGGGAAACATGGCAAAACTGGTCATCACATGTATTCTGTTTGAAACCAGAAAGTGATTGAACATTTCTTGCTCCGCTGAGATGGATGATGACTGATGCTAATATCTTGGGTCCTCTGGGTCCCCTGAGCTTTCTCTTCTCGCTATTCCTGGCAGAACTGGTGTCTGTCCTTCCAATCGAAAGCTTCACGCACCAGCGAAACGGAGAGTCCAACACCATCGAAGCGGGCTAGAGATGCCCAAACACAACTGAACAATCAAGTCCTTGCAGCTCCGCTACATCTTCCTACACTCAGACTCAAATTCAAGGAAACGTAGGAAAACTCATATATGGAAGAGTTGTCAAAAAGGACAGCACTGCGATTCTTGTGACTGCGATTTGTTCTGAAGTCCAAAAACTCCTCCGTTTGCGCGGTGCCCGGTGCCCCATCCTTTTTTCGGAATCCGCCATTGGGGTGCCAGCAGATCGGCAGCGATCGGCGCCCAAAGCGAAGTCCCAGGAATCCAGGAAGTTCCGGGTCTTCTTCCCATCCTCGCTGGGGACGTTGGGAAAAAGCCAGTTCTCTCTCGGTATCTCTCAGTGGTCTTCCAGAAAAAAACAAACATCTAAAGAAGACGGTGAGCTGTTGCTGGCCTATTCTGGCTCACGATCAGTGCATGCTCCTCAAGGTGTTGCTAGATGCTTTTACCCTAGGGCTCCAGCCATGTCCTCCTCAGGTGGTTGGACGCCTGTCGCTGTCCCCTGTTGACTGTCGTCCGAAGAAATGACTCAAGTCGACTACTCGGTACCCAGCCGAAAAAGACTGAGTCGTTTCGCTTCCAAAAAATCAACCCATGAATTGAAATAACTGTATTATTTACTATATTATAAGTACCCATGGGTACTTGGTACGTATTACTTGTGCATTTCATACATAAATACGTATGAAATTGATTGAAATTGACACCTGAGGATATACCTGCTGTATTAATTATATACTTGAATAATCCTGAACGCTGATTTTTTAATGTTTCTGTGTTCGACTTTCTGTACCTGAGGCGCGGTCCAACTTGATCACGGACAGCTGATCCCAAGAGCCTTCCCAACTCTCCATCTCCGGCAGCGAAACCCCTCGACCCATGGAGATGTGGAAGTTCTGGGCCTAACCAGCGTTCGCACGCGTTCGCACGCCTTTTGGGGTACACGTCAACACGTCCTGACTATGCGTTCGCACGCGTCGCATGCGTAGCGCGGGAAGAGGTTAGCTCCACAGTATCGAATTTTGGTCTCATTGGGGGATACGGGAAATGTCAGGATGAAGCCACTAGGGCACCAAGTGGTACACCAACAAACCGCTTACTGTACCTGGATACTTACAAGCAATGGGATCCAAGCTGGAGGTCCTTGATGCAGGTGAAGGTGGAGGGTCCTTGAAGGGTCCGCATGGCGGTGCAGGTGCTATGAAGGTCCTGGAGGGTCCTGCCGATGATTGAACGAAATCAGATGGAGAATAGACTCAAGCTTCAGTCGAACTGGTAAACATATGAATATTATAGTATAAGTATAAACTATGAGTTCTCCTTGAAATGGTTCAGAGCCGTTTCGTGCACCTGCCCGCTCTTTTCTTGGCTGAACTATCATTCATTCAGACCATTTCCAGGCTTGTGCTCGGCAAATGTGCACACCCAGAAGGTGCCGGCTGTCAGTGTCACTGTCAGGCTGGGATGAGGATGAGGATGAGGATGATGATTGTGGTGGTGATGATGATGATGGTGATGATCTACCACAAACAGTGATATGATATGAAATGATAGTGTCCCCACCAACCCAACCTTGCAAACATGTGCAAACCTAGGTTCGGGGAATACAGTCTGACAAATGACACAATACTGTAGAAGCAAATCCACACCCAGATCGAGGTCACTGAGGTATCCCTTTGGTCTCCCTCTTTGGTCTCCCTTTGACCACTGAGGTCACTCCACATCCACATCTACAGGCTTCTCGCCGAACACATCGCCTTCATCTGGAGGAACTTCAGGTTCTCGAAGCTCTTGACTTTCGACCAGCTATTCGTGGCCAAGTCCACCGGCAAGAAGAAGGCCTCCAACGGTGAAACAAATCGAGGAATTCTGAACCTTGCCTCACCTCAGCGAATCCCCAAACACGATGCACAACCTAAATCTTCTCAACGTTCCTGTTTACTGTCCATGAAGGCTGGGGTTGCAACCCAAATTCGACGAAGACCAGGAGGCAATTCGCGCACACACGTGCTCCAAACACCCCCCAAACGCACAAAAAAACCTCCAGGGGCCCCAGTTGCTGGTTTGGTGATATGGTATGTGATGGGAATGTCATGGACCGGATGCGACCGGAGGGGAAGACACTGAGTTGGATCACGACGAAAGAGGAGAACACAGAACGTGAGCGAACACAGAAACGATGTGGAGAACAAAGACCAGCTCTTTGGTCCACTGAACGGAACTTCTTCCAGCGAGCCATGCGATGAAACACTTCGGAACAGGAGTTGACATGGGAACATGGGAACGCCACCAAGGGTGGGAAGTGCAAGGCAGCGAAGGCACCGAATCCGAAAAGAATCTGTTCCGAGGTGGCAAAACCAGATGTGAATTGAGACTCGCTATGTGCGCAGGCTAGGCGAGCTGTACCAAACCAAATCGTGTATTTGTTGGTTGCCCTTCTGGAATCATTGCTGCAAATACTGGGTGTCTACTTTTGGGCAAACCACATGTTTGGGGCTCGAAGTGTGAGCGGCTGGGAATGGCAGACTTCGAAGTACATGTCCGTGCTGTTTGACAAGTTTCAGTTGGATGCCCAAGCATCCACCCAGCAAAATTAGTGCCATTAGTGAGGAAAACACCGGTTCTACCATGTTTTACCTACCTATCCATTCAGTGAACATCAGGATCCCCTTGAGAACTTGGAACTCTGATGCCTTGGCTACGACCCACTTCCATCCGCTTCACCATCCACGAGCGCCTTCGTCGTGCCAGTCCCTCCCCAAGGCACCACGCCGCGAGCGGCGCCTGCGAGGCACCACGCCGCGAGCGGCGCCGCTGCGGGCCGTGGACGTGAAAGGAGCAGCCACCCGGGAGAGCTTCACGACAAACAGCAGCCAAGAGAGCCAACTTGGCGCTCCTTGGAGATGCTAACGATCTGATCGCGCAAGGTTCGTTGGACATGATTGGCAGGTGAGCTCTGAGCCGCGTGATGCCACGACCAGCCGGCCAGGAATCCAACCTGTTGGGGGTGATGTTCGTTGGAAACGGCAAGTTTGAAGTCCCCTGCTTGCATTGTTCAACAACAGATTTGAGTTGACTCAACCTGTTAACTGTCATGAATAAGCTGGGAACAGAAACAATAAGGATAGGTTTCTGGAACAGTGAATTCATGAGTACGTGAATGCTGGTATCGAGTCGATAAAGAGATTCATACACCGGAGGACAACTACCCAAAACAGTAGGGTGACTGAAGCAACGGACATGCTGTCTGCCATCAGCCGCCTGGTGGCACAGATTTTCTCTCTCACACTGCCCCGGTACGTTGCTGTGGCACAGTTGAGTCTCAAGCAGTGCATATTTTCTCGAGTTTTCCGAAGAAGTCTCTGCATTCAGCCCGCCCAGCGTTTTGATCCGTGCACCCGTCTAATCTGAGGCACTCCTCAGACGCACATGAGGTAAATTCACCCAATGAAATGTGAGCAGGTCCCCGTGGCAGAAGCTCATGTCCAGCAGATCTCAAGGAATCCAGCACTTCCTGCCACAAACTCTGAGGTTGGAGGCCATCGCTATTAGAATCAGAAGAAGCCTCAAAGTCGTTGAATCACTTCGCTAAAGGACTCATTAAGTCCTTCCTCCTCATTCAATCAAAACAACCCCAGAAGCCCCTAGGTGCATCAACATTTTTTCTGGAGAAACAATCAGGGGGTCTTGTTAAGGTGCGCCCATGAGCTACGGATCTCAGTCTAAGACACAACAACAGATTCACCTATACCATTATACAATTCCAGCAATGCTTCAACAGAAACACATCTCTCTGGCTCTACGGGAGTAGTGGTCCAATGTTCTTTGAGCAGTTCCGTTTCTCCGCTCCTGAGCGGGCGCCGTCGGAGGCAAAACGATGCCTCGGCCGGCAGGCCGTGGGTGGCGGGTCGCGATCTCCGGGAAAGCCCCCGGAGTGGGTCCGACCCTCCAAAACATCCGCTCCCAGTTTGCGTGGGCGGTTGGAACCCAGTGGAGGAGGTTTGAACCCAAATACTTGTCGTTGAGTTGCATGAAGAAAGACCTGGCGGCCAAACAGAAATCACCGGCCAACTCCCCGGCCCCATTTCAGTCCTTTCATTCACACGAGAAGACAAACCCAAGATCACCGATGCATAGGTCAACAGTCTGATGCTCCAAAAAACATGGGCCTTACATAGAAACCAATCTGCTCAATGAGCAAGACCTCTGATCTCATCTGACTTCCAAGCCCTGAGTCATCGGCCTCTTTTCGCCCTAGCCCGGTGAGCCCGGTGGGCTTGGTATATATACGGACCCTGTCTACGAGACCCTGCCAGGCAGGTGCCTGAGGCGGAAAAATTGCGAACATCAAGAAGATCATCCTCGAAAAGGATCTGAAGATCTGTCTGGCAAAATTGCACTTCAAGGTTTCGACCCAGAGCCAATGAAGATATATTGCAATTGCCCCGCTTGCCTTTTTTGTTGGGAGTCTGTGAGACTGCAGCGCAAGAGCAGCCGCTATGCTTCTTCATCCCCAAACATCAAGAATGAACAGTATAAGCTACAAATCTCCCACTACCAGCAACCGTGGATGATGATGGTTGCAGGCCCTTCTGATGATCGGTAGATTCTACCGACAACAACTCCAGAATGTCCATGCCGGCCCATGCCCCATGCTGCAAAGCTGCGCAGTTCATAATGAAACTCTTGCAGGTCACCGGTGACAGGTCCATCCGACATCACGGAGGCCCGCATCTTCCGTCAAAAACCGCTTTGGATCAACATCGCAGAACTGGCAGGTCGATGCATGTGGCTGCCAGGTAGTGTATTCCGTTCATTTTGGGTCACCGGTCAACCATTCATCTCACATCCTTCATACCCAGTGTCACAGTATACCAAGGGATGTCGAGGGTTGCGCTCAAGTCGTCGTGTGTCCGCGAGGTTGGAGGTCCCAGGGTTGGAGGACCCGTTTGGTCCAGCAACAGTTGCTGCGCTGAGGCTGGGAATTGGAACCATTTTGAACCATGTTGGATAAGGTCGACCTACTAAGCGACCACTTTTTGGTACGGATTTTAGACAAAAACCAGGTCAAGCATTCTTTGAATGGTCAAACTGCAGGCGAACGGGTTTGGAAGCCTTGATGGACTTGAAACAATCTGGAAGAGATCGATGGGCGTCCGCCCAACAGCTGTGTGAATCGACAATCACCTTGACTTTAGGCAGTTCTAAGGCACTGTGTCTGAGGCTTGCCTTCACGCATGTGTCTGAGGTCTCATCACATCATTCACCAAAACACCTCAAAATGGTCAGTCCACAACAACATACAAAATCGCTTGGGGGAATCCCTATTTATCATGTATGCTTTTTCAACACACATCCATCATACAAGGGTATTACAGGGTACCATAGTCTAGTATACCACTTAGGGCAAAACACGCTTGGCCGGAATTGCGCTCGCTTTCAGCGACTTCGTCTTCCGCAGCTTGGGCCGAAAGAATCACGACGGAGGGGGGAGATCGGGAGTCTCTCGACTCCAAGTCTCATGCATCAACCAAGCGTGCCTTCAGGCCATCCTTGGACCTTAGACACTCCTTCAAAAAACCCATGCATGGAAGTGAGTGGCGCCACCTGTATGTAGAGGATTGTAGAGGAAGAGGATCCAAGGGGCCATGCCATCCACTTGCTTCGTTCATTCAGGGAGCTTTAAGGAGCCACGTCCCAGGCTGGCCCAACCCAACAGCCTGAGATCACGTCGAAGAAATGTTGACCATGTCCGATATATCCGGAGATCCAACGTGTTAACATGATCCAACTGTTTTCAGGGTTTTGAGCATCCAAAGTGGGTAAAAAGACTGGTCATCACTCATTCCTGACCATTTGTTTCCTGCACCAAGCCGCTCTTGGCTGAGGGTTTGGCAACCTGAAAGAAGATGGCCATCCTAGCCCATCTTCGTACTGTTGCAACAATGAATCTCCCATAATCTCCCAGCCCTCCCAAAGTGACCTGAACTGCAATCTCGGCATTCAAGGGATCTCCCAATGACCCCCCTCTGTACCCGAGGCGAAAGAGCTCTGTTCCCAGGTGATGATCGACCTTCCGAAAGCAAACGCCGTCGACTTCCGAGCTCCTCCATGTCCTAGAGTCGACCATTTCTTCAATGGAACGTATACGCGACAAACAACGCACCTCAGCCTTGAGACAGAGTTCCACCTGCCAGGGCTCCAACTTCGCCGCGCCGGCGGCGAAGGACGAGAGCCGTGCCCCGAGGAAAATGGACGCCCGAGAGACGCCCGAGCGCTCCGAAAAGGAGTCAACTAGTGCAGTACTTTGCACCGATCTTCATATCTCTTCATGAACCAAACATCTTTGCTGGTGAGGCTTCAAGGTCGAACAAAAGCCCAAACACAACACCAACTCAGGGTGCATCCCTATCAAAACCAATCCTTAGCAGCCTTAGCAGAACCAAGTGGCTTCGAGGTCTGTGCCTCCAGCTTGAATCCCCAAATGACCTCTGCAGGTCGCGACTTCTAATCGCAGCAATCCCCAGCGACCATAGGTGTATTGAGTCCAAGCGCGGTGCGACCGTTGCCACCGCGCGCAAGCGGTCGCACCAGTCCAAAACTGCGGTCGCCTCGTCTTCGGGCTCCCAGCCTTGGTGGTGTGGCAAAATGCGACGAGAAGTTGATATGACCCCGCAGAAATGACAACTTCTGGAAACCGGAAAGACTTCGGCGAAAAGAAATTTGACGACTGATTTGGGCAGATCAACCGAATCCATGAAAATCCTCCGAAACATGTGTCCATGTTCAGAAACGGTCGATCCAGCTCGCAGATCGCGAATCGCAGGTCAGTTCACAAAAGGGTCCGAACATGCTACGATCCGAGAGTTCAATCGCACTCGTGAGGCACAGCCTGCCTCCATGAGTGTTCTCCCTTTGATGCACAGAGAAACACATGCTTTAAACCCTCAAACGATCTCAACAGAATTGTCCATAGCTGCATACCATTGCAACGCTTGGCAACAAAGGATGTTTATGAAGATTAAAACAGCAAAAAAAACAGCGCTTGTGTGTGAGAGTGTGTGTGAGTGTGCTACGTACCAGGCCTCAGGCTGATGGTTCTGGGGCTAGCTCTTCAACCCTGGTCAAATCACTGGCAAATACTTAAATACAGCAGTTCTCATCACAGTGTTTTCGACTCATTTTCTCAAAGGACACGGCACTTTGACCAAGGCATAAACTCTTTGACCAAGTGGCTCAACAGGCCCTGTGCTCACTGCTTCCTTTTGCCAATCGGATTGGGGGTAAAAGTACTATCTTGAGCCAATGGTAGACTATGTCTCTGGCTGTTTCAAACGTGTGTCTCTTGATTCATGCGATTCATGCCATTCAGCCAATCAACAGGCAGACTTCTCACGACTCTGTCTGTCATTGATGTACCACCACGAATTCGGTGTGAAACCCGTTTCTTCCAGACCAGTGCCGCCAAAATGGGCGCCCATCCCCCCCTTTGGGTCTGAGATCTCCGGGCTGAGACCGCAGGCCTGGCGAAGTTCGACGGTGAGTTGGGGATGCCAATCATATCCCATCGTGAAACTGGATGGATCTTGGCGCCTGTTTACATGTGAAATCCTGAAGGTCTTTCATGGCCCAAAACATGGACAGGTGGTAGTGCGGTGAATGTTCGATGTGCAAACCAAGTAATTAGTTTGCCTTCAACGATATTGGCAGTGTTGATGGCTCGAATGGATTTTGAATGGTGAATGAACTATTTTCTTCATGGCAGTGTTGATGGCTCGAAAGGATGTTGAATGGTGAATGAAGTCTCTCATTCACCATGTCTTGCTTTCCAAACTTCCTGGGGCCTCAGGGAGTCGGCAGCACCTCTTGGCACAGGGATCGTGAAGCACGAGGATCGTGAAGCTGCAGCTGAAAACAGATCGTTTCTGCGGAAAACATCGCAAAAGTATCATAGTTACTATAGTACTACTCGCCCACAATCCATGTATGGCCCAATGGCATGTTTACTTATAAAGGCTTCAAAGTCTGGCTTCCTTGACTACTTTAAGCGTGTGGTTAGGTTCAGGTGGCTGAGAGAGAGGAGCGATGGTCAAACTCTATCAGAAGCAGATGGAGATGTTGTGTTCAGAGTGCCATGGCACTGCAAGATGGCCTTGTCTTTGACCCATCCCTCAATCTGAAAGCTCTTAACATCTCTTGACTATATTCAAAAAAACGCACACACAATACAAAAACCTATGAAACCCTTAGACACTCTTCCAAATTTGGGGAGCCCTTTCTCTTCAAAAGCCTCAGTCGGCACTTCAGGTCCACGGTCCTTCACCCGTCCCTGGCCTCGCTTCTGGGGCGAGCGGCCCCCCTTCTCCGGCGACCTGAGAACTCTCGGAGATTCACCGGTTGGTCGAACCGGTTGGTCGACGGGGGTTGGTCAGCCCCGCCATGGCTGTGCTGAACACAGGCGGGACAGATGAGACGGGTGTCCAGGATGAAAAGAGAAGGACGCAGAGAAGGAAAAGGAATGATCGGAGCAAAGGTGGGACACATAACCATACATAACCTCTGTGGTTCTGTGCTTGTGACTCAGGTTAGGCCTCACGGCTTCGCCTTTTTGATTCAAATGCCACGGAAGTCCAAGTTGCCAAGGCGTGCCAAGGATTAATATATGGGATTTTCAAGGTTGCCTACTGTCATGTCCTCCTGGCGAACGTTTGAGATGGATCAATCGTGTCGCTGGGATTCGAACCGTTGAATCTGACTCGACGGACGTGACCAAATGCAACCCAAAAGCGGGCAGGTGTGGCTGAGATTCTGAAGGCCAAACCCAGAAGCAAAGCTCTTGATTCCAAGTTTCAACCCGCAAAACGAAGCTTTGTCGATTGCCACTTAGGGACTTTTCTGATCCTTTCCTGCCTACCCAAAAGGGCCCGGAGGCTTTCTTTTCATGACCTGACACCATGTTGTCGCCCAAAGATGTTCACGAAAACATATGGAAGGCACCTCTCTTCCCACTGCCCAGGCATCGTCCAAACCGCCCAATCAAGAGCATTTTGGTCACGTCAATTCCCGCTCTGGCAAGGCATCCGGGTGCCGGGGCAAGCCATCCGGCTTCCGGCGCTTCCCTCTGCGACGAAGCCTCGTTCGTTGGGGACCGGAAGAAGCCCAAACCGGCCCCACGGGTCTTCCATCCTATAGGGAGTCCTGCTGACACTGAGACTCCAGCAACGTGTGAGTGCGGGGGGCGCTGAAGGATCGTTTTCTCCGACGACGACCTCCGAAGGGCATATGATCCAAAGAGGGGGGTGTTCCACTGCCGATCTGAGGTTTTTTTCACGTCAGAACAAATCACATGGGTGTGTATTTTACCAGCGCTCCCCAGCCTCCACCCTACTAGCGATGGCCTCCACCCTACTAGCGATATTTCATCTTTCATACACAGTATTCTCCTAGTAGCGTCCGTGCTCCTAGTAGTAAGGCCAGGAGCCCCTAGTAGCTTCTTGTTACTACTAGTAAGGCCCTCGCTCCTAGTAGCGATGCCAGGAGCCCCGTTCGTAGCGTCCTTGCTCCTATAGGGTGGAATTTAAATCGCCTCCATGGGCACCCGCGCACTGAGGATGATCTTCTGCCCGGGGAAGGAGCCGGTGGAGGTGGCCCCGGTAACCTGCGAACGAGGAGACGGTCTTCCGGTCACGATGTTCTGCCACGAAAACTGAGGTCGATCCCCAACCGGGAGCACA